TATGTCTTGAATATGATCATTTGCCTGAGTGCTCGCCGATACTTAAGCAACACAAATATATCATGCTGCGCATAGTAATGTTCACTTGCACGGGATTGCGAATAGCCCATGAACAAAACAGTTACTTTTCCGACTACACCCACTATAACCATTACTAAATCTATATACAAACCAACAGACAACCAATGCTGAAGCTGTACAGTACCAGCCAGCAGGCAAGTGCAAACATGGGGGCCAATTATAAACAAATTCTGAACAGTACTATGTCACTAAGGCCCTTGGTCAACGCAAATGAATCCAAAACCAATATTTGACAGCACTGGGCCAACACAAAGCAGTGCTATGGCAATGTTAGACCAATACTAAACAGTACATATTGGAAGACCACTTGGGCACGCCCGAGTCTGACCCCGGTATCTGTGTGTCTTCATTTGTTTTCTCTATTGCCCGAACTCCGTAAAGCGGGGCCCTTGACCAATCACTCCCACAAACTCCCATTGCTTGTCTCATATTTGGGTGACCCCAAAATAGTTGCTCTTCGCGCTTTCCATTAAACGCCAACTGAAACGGGGCTCCTCCGAAAAGACACCGCCTGAAGGTTAAACAATTCCAAAAAACAGACTGTACATCACACTCAAACTCCCGGATAAAGGATGGCTAAAACTGCGTTAAATATCTACATTCAACATCCAGCTCGCAAGCAGTTTTAGCCTGAGCTCCCTTGCCGGCTTGGCTAAGTCTAAATCGAGTGACTCAAGTCCAGGAATTCGGGACGTCCGAAAGTCTCAAATGTCCTTGAAGTCTAAAATCCTAAAGTCTACAGTGCAAAAGTCTATCACGCCAAGCCTCGATCCTCTTCCCCCTCTGGGTGTGCTTTATTGAGGGTACCATTTCGGGGGTGGCTGCAAGGAAAGTAACAGGAATGCCCACCCATTTTGTCACCATATCGGAATTGGTGGCTTGTGGCTTGGACTATCGGGGTACCTTTTCCATTTGGCTTCAAAACGAACTGGGGCTCCTCTACCCCGAAACCACTTCACAAATACAAGTTGAAGGCTTGCGCAAGGAATCTTCCTAACTCCAAGAACCTGACTGTGGGGGTGTGATCTGCTTCACCCTTCGCCCATTTTGCCCAGCAGCATGGGATCAGTTAGCGCCTGCCGCTGCTGATGATGAGACCTTGAGTCAGGCTTCCGCTTTTCTCCTTTCAAACCCGGTGGGTTTACTTAGTAAACGTGTTGGTGTCAACCTGAACACCACCCCCCCCCCCTCCCAAAAAAACAACAAACATCGCCATACCCCGTGGCAGTGTGAAAATTAACCAGGTTGGATGTTGAAAACCCACAATTTGGCTTCAAAAGGAAGTGGGGTTCAAATCGCCAAACCACCAGTCCAAACCGCCAACTAAAGTGTACCTGAAAAATGGCACCCTCCAAAACAACAAACACACACTTTCAATCCTAAACTTACGACTCAAAGAGTACTTTGTTCATCCTTCTAAGGGCAAGGCTGCAACATGTTACCCTACATTCATTTCCCTTGCACCTACAGTCACTAAGGACGCAGGTGTGAGGAAGGTTCCTTTCCATACAATTGCAAAACTTTGCCAACAGGAAATGACGGGGTACCGTACCCTGGCAGAAAGGACCTCCTCTGGTGGAGTCGCTCCTTCTAGCAACGTTTGGTGAACTGATTTACGCCAAAGGAGAATCACTCTCCTCATTGCTGATTCCGACCCGGCCACACATTCCCCGCCCGTGTGGAGGTCACATGCATTAGCAGGCGGGGACAAAGAACCGAACAGAACCTTGGCCAAGGCTCGTTCCACTTGCTGACAGATCTTGAGGTAACAGCAAGTGAGTGGAGGCATAAACATATTGTGAGCGCGAGCATTCTTTTCTGGATGTTCAGCTCGTTTGCAGCCGAACTATCCCGTACGATCAACCACAAACCATGGCGACACACCTTACATGAATGCAAAAGCCAAGTTGTCTGCAATGGATTTCAGCACTCCTACAGGGTTCCCATATTTCCCCTCGACATATTGCACCCCACTCAAAAGACACCTGCGCAGAGTTGTTGGCACATGTGCCACGGTCAAACACCCCCTAGTAGAAAGCTTTGAACCTTCACATTGGGTGTCTACAATCCCCACGAACAGGTTCATGACCACCCCTACCAACCCCTTCAGTAGCAAAGGGGTGTTTTGGCCATGGCACAAATGGTCTCCGAGCCACCAACAAACATGGCTTGCTGTCATGTCCCAGACCCGTTTGGATGATGACTTTCCCAAAGGTCACGTTCAATTCCGCCGAAAGGTCGGGACTGATCGTCTCTGCTTCGGAAGGAGCATTTCCGGGCCCTGAGGCCCTGAGGCTCGGTGTCCCTTGCACCTGTCTGGGTTGCGCTTGGTTTTGACGAGAACAACTGTTTTGGTCGATCCTCTTGGAAATGTCGCCGATCCTTTTAGACAACTTTTCCCATCCCATGTTGGAAAGAACTGATCCTTTCAATTCATTACCCTCTGGCAAGGCTCGTTAACCACTCTCAACGCCGGATCCATGCTTCCCGTACAAGGCAAGAAGTTCAAGGAATGGACGTACACTCTTTTCTACAATGGAGTTATGTTTTTGTTTACCCCAAGTTCCCCTCCCTGAGTATCATTGGACCCTCAGGGGTCGAACCGGACCTTTGGAAAGTTCTGGACCTGATTTCAAGGGTCTTTCTGAGGGCCTGTTTGATGCTTAGGATGCTTCGGGCCAGTTGGTTGGGGCTGGAAACTTCCGAGTTCTGGGTTCCCAGGCGCCGTGGCATTCTTCGCCTAACGTGAGGAAGTCGTGACGTGTATTTGGCAGGGAGTGTCAGGGAGCGTCTTGGGGGGGGGACTATAAGTGTATTCACCTGAAAATGTATATGTACATACAGATAACATAATATACACATACATATATATAATATACATATGTATTTGTTGGGTGACAGGTCGCAGACGGGAGACTCTCCATTTAT